GGCTTTTGAAAAAAAAATTAGCTCATCCTTTCATCCACATGGAGAGGCACTGTTCTACTGATTTTCCTGACCCTACTGGCTACCTTTGAAAATTTTTTCCAAGTGGATTTTACAAAGTAGATCTGAGGCAAGGGGACAAATTTTCCTTTGTACTCTTAGCAACCTGGAAGAAATTTATTTTTTCTCCTATGCACCAAAGAGATAATCAGCTCAAACATCTTACCAGTAGCCATTACATTTTAATCCCATCACCTTTAAAAGGTTACAGGTGCCCTTGGAAATCATGATTAGCCAGAGTGCTCACAGCCAGCAGCAGGGGAAATGTGCTGTATATTCTACAGAGGCTGCCCAGGGGCACTTCTATCTAAGAGAAATATTATTACAGAATTCACCATCTCTGCTCTTTCCTCTCCAAAGAGGCCACAAAGAAAACAAAGTCATTAAGCAATCACCTAAGGTAGTCGTTGCCTCTCCAGTCCTTAGAGCAAGACTGTGCAGGAGGCAAGAGCAACTTTGGCTTTCCCACAGGATAAGGCTCTTGGGGAGTTGGGTATTATTGGATTAAGTGACTTTTAAGTGGCGATTGGAGCTACAGTCTTAAGAAGACCTAGCATTAACTGAGATAATGGACACGAGAATGCTTTGTAAGTGTGAAAGGTATTTAAATGCAAGGTGTCATTACAACCTTTCCAGTCTAGCTCACAGAACGTCCCTCTGGAGTTACTGATGTGGAAGTCAAAGTGGAAATATCTCACACTGCATTCTAGAAATGGGGCAGACCCAACATGCCCACAGCACCTCCTGGTGGCTCACCCCTGGAGTAGCAACATCTTAAAAACCACTCCCAACCATTGTTGCAGAAAATTAACCAAACATCATACTTACTCCCTTCACTCTGACTGTCTTTGTTCGAGTTGTAGACCTGAAAAATAGAAATAAAAATTTACTTGTGTGCATTTATACATATTTATATATATTTATATCACCCTACACGTTGTTCACTGTTGAAAACCACTATTTTCCCCCTTTCCCTAGGTTGTGCCATAAGATGAAAGGCAATTTCTCACCCCAAATATAAGCCCTTTCAATAAGTATCTATTTCCCANAAAAAAAAATCATATTCCATGTTTTAAAAAGCAAATAAACTTAGGTGTGTATATAAAAAAACAGGAGAAAATTAAAAATTTTTTTAAAGTAATTAAGCACCAACTGCACACCAGGTAATATGCTAAGCAATTCACATAAATTATTTCAAACAATCAATATAACAATTCTGTTGGAATTGTTATCATCATTGTTTTGCAGAGAATCTGAGACTTAGGTTAACTAAAGTATCACAGCTAGTTAGTGGCAAAGTCAGGACAAAGATACATTACAAACTGTTGAGTGTTAACACTGGGAAATAGGAACAGTCACTTACTCTATATACTTTAATGAGTTTCAATGTTGTAAGAATACATTAACAATAAAAAACCCTTAAATGATTTATAGATATCATAGAAAGGGAAAGTGCCCCAATATAGATAAAGGAAAGGTGCCCCAGTATAAAATAGATAATGACATACTGCAAGGGTCAGTAGGCTTTTTCAATAAAGTGCCAGAGAGTAACTATTTTAGGCTTTGTGGGCCAAGAGGCAAAATCGGCAATATTATATAGGTACTTATATAATAAAAGAAATAAAACAATTTTTCACAAAATTTTTGACAAAATTCAAAATATAATAATAATTGGGCATAATTTATTTGAAATACAAGTCTACTAATCAGAAGAATGAATTTTTTTTTTAGAGAAAGAGTGACATTTAGTTTAACTGGAGTTCAAAGCTGGTATTCCCTATCATCAAGTCATTTGTAAATGTTCATCTGTAAATACCATGCTTGGCTCATGGACTAAACAAAAGCAGGTGGTAGGCCAGATTTGGTCTGTGGACCATAGTTTGCCCATCCCTGATATGTTATCATTATTAAATAAGATGAAACCTCTGTTTTAAAAAAGAAAAAAATCATAGTGCTCCAACCCTTCTTTGTTAATTAAGTTCTGTAGGTATGGAAAGGCATAGGGTGAAGCTGGTCATCGTAACTTCATATATTTCCCAAATGATTATGATGGCTACTCTCAGTTGAGAACAACTTATTTTAACCTCTAAAGAAACTGAGCTAAACATCTCTAAAGAGAGAACCATTAAACCAAAAAAGAGATTTTCACTACTAAGGAATATGAGTGGGAACAGATGGTCAAGAGAGGGGCACTGGGTCCAACTTGGCCCCTCAACTGCTTTGTGTCACTGGATAAGTCCCTTACCCTGTCTGGGCCTCTACTGTCTCATCTGTAAACTGAAGGAGTGGCCCAAGAAGGTCTTTGAATTATCAAACTGTAAGTGTAACAGATCATCCCATTTTATTATTGTTATTAATTTTCTAAATAACACTAAAGCTGCACAGCCACTTACTGAGGTTAGAAAGATGAGGATAAAAAGGAATGGGTTTCTGGTTTTTTTTTGTTTGTTTGTTTGTTTTTTTTGTCTTTTTTCGTGTCCGGCAACAGATCGCAACCCTCAGTGTCGCGCCCGTACCGGACCGGGACCGGCAA